TTTTCACCAAAAACTGATTTTTTTATGTGGGGCAGGTCATATTTTAAAACACCTGATGTTAAAAACATTCTTCCATTGGTCTTTATCATTTTGGGCATTTTCTGAAATATCTCATCACATTTATGCAAATGACATCCAGCTGTATATAACCTCTAAATCACTTGAGTTTGATTAGCTGTCCACTGTTATATAATGTGTATCTTAGGTCAGTAACTGGTGTGCATGTAATTTTCTGGCATTAAGCATGGATAAGACAGAGTCATTGATAATTGATCCTGGCTACAAAAGCAAAAATGAACTCTAAAATCCAACCATTCATTTTCTTTCCACGCTTAATCCCAAGCGGGGTCGAGAGGGGTGCTGGTGCCTATCTCCAGCTGTCTATGGGTGAGAGACAGGGTACACCCTGGCCAGGTCGCCAGTCTATCGCAGGGCAAAATAGAGACAAACAAGACAAACAACCATTTACGCACACACTCACACTTAAGGACAATTTAGAGAAGCCAATTAACCTAACAGTCATGCTTTTGGACTGTGGGAGGAAGCTGGAGTACCTGGAGAGAACCCACATATGCACAGGGAGAACATGCAAACTCCATGCAGAAAGACCCTGAGCCGGAAATCGAACCCAGAACCTTCTTACTGCAAGGCAGCAGTGAGCAGCCCTAACACTAAAATCATTATTATATTTTCTGTGCAACCAAATCTGCTGTAAAGATCCTGCAGGTACATTAGAGATGCATATTTCTCACAATATTTGCTTTCATTTAAAAAGCATCTCACAAACATATCCGCCATGGTTTTCTGTGCAAATCTTGAGAGGATTATGCTTGCATTTTTGTCCTTCCATTCAGATTACTGCAATACCTTGCAATGCAATGCAATAAAAAGATTTTTAAGTTTGAACAGATCAATAATTCCACACCATCAGAATGTATCAGTCAGACTTCTTACTAAATCAAATGGATTCTATCATATCACCCCAGTCTTTGACTTCCCACACTTGCTTCCAGTTGTTTTTAGATTTGTTTTCACCTACAGGGCTTTAAATGTGCAGGATACTGACTACGTATGTCAGCTTTTACCTGAATACTCTGGTACTCCTAGCCTTCAAAAGCTAAAACCTCCTAATTGTTCCTTTTTACGAAGCTAAAAACTAAAGGATCCAGGGCACAGATTGAGGCTCCTAAACTATGGAACAGCCTTTGCAGCTTTCTTTCACTGAAGCTGTTGAGATTTTTTTTTTTATTGAAACCTACTTTGTTCCAGACTCCCATGCCATGATTTTATTGTGTTTCATTTATGCGTGGTTTGATTGTATTTTCCGATTTTTCTTTTGAATCTTATTTTGATTTTACTGTTCATTCAATGCCATATTTCGTCTTGATTATGTTGTGACACTGTGTCTGTGAAAGGTACTTTATAAACGTCTTCAAACTTGGAAACAAATTCCAGTGGATTGCTTTAATTTTGTTTTTTTCGGAAGTACAACTAAACAAACTTTACTTGCTTCATTTTCTTCCACAGCTTCTGATAAATCTATCCCAACAGGCTTTTGGCAAAGTTTAAAGAGAACTTAATTTGGCTTATTTTTTTTTAATGGTCATTTTCCTGTAAATGGCTTCTCCCACCTGGGCTGCAGCTCTGGTCAGCTCCTCCAGAGTACCAATCGGCCACTGTGTTTCTTCTCTGCTGGCCATATTCTTTTCATTTTTGATGATGGATTGAACAGAGCTCTGTGAGGGCTTAGTAATATAGATTTATAACGCAACCCTGCAGCTTAACATGGCTGTGCAACCTTTTCCCCGACTTATCTATTGTATTCTTTAGTCTTAAATATGCTATTTGTTCACTGATGTTTCATAACAAAGCCTTAAAGATGGTGAGATTATCTTGCAGGTGAAATCCATTTACTGATGTGGTCATTTGTATAGATTGCTCTAAATTGTTAGGGGTCCCACAATGCAGTGGGCTGAAAAACATCCATAGTGCATTTTAAAAATAATTCATAAAAATAAAATAATTTTAATTTCCCTTCCATTTCAAACTATGAAATGATTCCCTGAAAATTTTTATTAATAATAAAGAAGATCTTGACTAAAAAAGTTCAAAAGAAATGATAAGTTTTGCAGGGATTTTCTTTTACTGAAAGCATTTGCAGCATCTCCGGAGTCTATTAAAGAAATGTTTAGGTCAGTTAGGGTTTGATCTTCCGAACAGCCAATTAACAAAGGAAACAACAAGAAAGAGAGTGGTATCACTTGTGGTGTGATTTCTCTCTCAGCGTGTAGGGGATAGATTGACCCAGGAGTTTGGCTGAGGTGTCTTCCTGTTTGCCAGCCACAGGAAACGGCTCTACACAGATGAGGCATTTAGCTCCCAGGTGCAGACCCCTCACTGGACGGCCTTGCCCAGATGGATAGTACTTCTTCCATCATAAAGACACTAGTCTTCCTCCTGCCCTGGAGCCACCGGTGATCCAGCCCGGGTCCAGCCTCATCAAAAGAAGCTGCGAGCTGTAGGCGGATATGCTGAGCTGCAGCCCCAAATCAAGCTCACTTTTCTTTCCCTTGTAAGTGGCAGAGAAACTGCGGGGGAGGTGCTCCATTCTGGGGGGACACCAGCTTCTTTCTTTCTTTCATTCCACTCTATTCTGACTTCTGTATGTGTGGCTCCTTGCAGGTGTCCCTTTTTCCCCTCCTTGACACAGAAACAATCCTAAAACACAGTCAAGAAAGAGAAGATCACACCAGGTTTTCTTTCACGAATCAGTTTATTACAGGTCTTTGTTGAGACAGGCACTAGAAATCAAATTGAGCTGGCGTGCACGCACACAAACGCCGGAGCACGCACACATTCACACGTTCATCCTGGCTGCCCGCACTCTGTTCTCCTGCAGGTGCGAGGGCCATCCGCCTGGCCCTTTTCATGCAGCCCTCTCTTTCCTGTCCGTCTGCAGCCGCCCATTCAGCTTCAATCACAGCACCAGCCGGACGCCACCGGCCCACTGGTGGGGAAGGGAAGCGCTTCCACGCACGCCTTAGACGACAAGGGAGGAACAGCTGGGGGGGAGGGGGGTGGTGGGATTGGAAGGGTCTTCCTCCTCTGCATCTCCGTCTGCTTTCATCGTAAACAACTTGCCTTCTGTTTGTGTCGGTGCTGTCCCTCTGCTCTTCCCCCAACCTTCCTTTTCTCCCTCTCAGATGAGCTTTACATGAAACTGGGGTGGATACAGGGTAAGGAGAGGACGGCTCGCTGTGAAACGGGGTGATCCTGAGGTCTTTTTGTGGCTAATGAATGGCACGTTTGAGGATTTCATGCTTGGTCTGTGCCCTAAGCCAGCTTCACCTGTGTTTGGAGTCAATTGGGCTGTTGTCTGGCTGTCTGGATCAGTGCCCAGCTCTCTGCTGGCCAATTTGGTTAGCAAGGCCGCTCAGAACTGAACAACAATAACACCCACCTCTAAACCGTCAATTAACTTCCCCCACACAATGATGGATCCATTCACTGTTTGCCAAAACTGTTCTCTGACACAATTAATACCTTGGCTAATAGCGCTTATAACTGCTCTCCGTCACTTAACAAAGTGCTGATGGATTTAATAGCTTCCAACTTGTTAGCCGGTTTTAGTGGTAAATTCCATTAAGCCCATAATGTTGTTTGTCTTTTATTCATTAGTGCCTCCAAGCTTTTAATTAAGACTAAATCCCATTTCCCGGTGTTTGCTTCATCTTCTGATTTGGAGCGTTGGCTTAGCCCTTAATTTGAAGTTGTGGCAGTGATTAAAATATTGCTCAATGAAAAGGAAAAAAATATTTATAAAAATAAAGTTCTAGTTTAATATGTAAGTAGTTATTGAGATCAGAACTGATGGTGTTTTAGTTTTTTTTTTTATTTAAGCTTTTATAGAACAGTTTTACGAGAAAACCTGTATAAACTTACATATAAACTTAGATTGGTGACGTTACCCTCCCAGCAGGTAAACTAACCTTAAACTTAGAGCCAACGCAAAAACTAAAAGATGTTGAGTAACCTATTTCCATCTAGAAGGGGATCCTGCCTAATCTGGAGAAGAGCTTCACTAGAAAAAAATCGAAATCTAGATAAGTAATCTTCTTAAAATATGTGCATTTGTTCTTGAATTGAGGAGATAAAAGAGACATTTTGCCAAAGGAACAAGATAATTTAGGTTTAAAATAAGAAAAGACAATTGTATTGCCTTATTTCAAGTGCATTTTACCTAATTATCTTATTTTAAGAGTAAAAATACTCATTCCATTGGCAAATTATAGAATTTACCTATTCAAATTAAGGGTCAATACACTTAATTTAAGAAGTTTTTACTTATTTCTAGCCAATTTTTCCAGTGTAGAAAAAGAAAATGTTTCTAGATGTTAAGAGGCAAAGGTATTCACCATCAGCTATCAGTGCAACAGCATGTTCAAAGAATTATATCTTTTTACCTGTAAAAATCTTTGTAAAACTATTTTTAGTTTACAATGGCAGCTGAGATTTTGTTAGCAGATGACATAAAATCCCCCTAAAATACAGTAACATTGGCTGTAATGTGACATGTTCAAAAGGTTTAAGAATTATAAATGATTTTGCAAAGCACTGCATATCAGGAGGACACATTAGAAATAAAGAAAATTATTTTTTTTTTAATTATTAGATGTTTATTATTGATGAGTTTTTAAATATAAAGAAATTATTATTTCTGAGAAAAACTGCTATTTTCCAAAAGCCTCACATTAACCTGCACAAATCATGTGAAATAATAATGCTCTTCTGCTGCATTGCAGGTGGGAAATGTGGATCTGTTTAATGATTCATTGTTTTTTTCCTTCATAGTTAGAAACTTCTATTAGGTGTCCTCCACCGTTTCAACATTTCTATTAAATATCCATCTTCATCACGAATGTATCAATGCAACATGTTGGGTGAATAAGTATAAGGGAGGAGTTGAGCTGAGGTGGAGCTATGTAAGAGGAGCATTTAGCTCACGGCTCCAGCTCTTTGAGCTGGGATTCTTGCCTCTCACAGCTGTGAAGATGAGATAACCGAGCTGCTACTTCAAGAAGCTTCCTTTGCAGCCAAGAGTCAAACTGTACTTGTGCTGCATGGCAGCTGTCAACTTCCTCATCTTCAGAGAAGAGAGTGAGAAGAGGATGATGAGCTGAATTTACAGTTGGACGTTTTTTTTTTTTTTTTTTTGCACATCTGTTTTTTTGTTAAACTTTTAGAGTCAGAGTAGAGTGTGACTCTGCCAACTCCTGAGCAGGGGATGAACATGCTGTCAAACACAGCTGCCCAGGGGCAGTCTTTACCTCTCTGTGGCCCCGGGTCTGTGCATGATCTACCCCACTGCCCTCCAGGGTTTGCTTTAAACTCCCGCCTGAATGCTGCACCGCTCCTCAGCCTGCAGAATGGCCCAAGAGCAGCCAAACCCCAGAAGGAGCTAAGTCCAGAGGAGCAGCAGGAGTTGAGGAGGAAGATCAACAGCAGAGAGAGGAAGAGGATGCAGGACTTGAACATCGCAATGGATGCCCTGAGGGAAGTCATGGTGCCTTATGCTTCCTCTTCCTCCTCTCCCTCTCAGTCACATGCGCTGGGGGCTCCTCCAGGCCGGAGGCTCTCCAAAATCTCCACCCTGGTTCTGGCCAGGAACTACATCCTCCTTCTAGGTTCATCTTTGCAGGAGATGCGGCGGCTGCTGGGGGAGGTAAGCATCGGGATGGGGGTGAGCACTGGGCCGGTCCCCCGACTGCTGTTTGCTGGTGGGTGGCCCCTAATCACCGGTCCCGGACAGCTCCTACTGACTCATGAACCCCTCCTATCAGCCGCCTCTTCTTCTTCCTCTTCTTCTTCTGCCGGGTCACCATCCTCCACAACAGCTAAATGTGCTCCGGTTCCTTCGAGCCCCATGGAGGCCTCGCTGGCCCCAGTGCAGTGGAGCTCTGTGGGGGCTCCAGGTGTAGCCCCCTGTCCCTGTGGAGTCTGTAGACTGCCCAGATTCAACCACACCAAACCTGCACCCAGGTTCCCAAAGTGAAGACCCAAACCGAAGCGGTTGATGAAGATTGGAGCTTGTTGCACAGATACAAGATTTTATAGGAATTAGTATTTTTCTAACATTTTAACTTCTTCATAAAATGTTGCTACACAACCTATGATTATATGCTAATTTCATCTAAGCATCTGTATTTAGTCAAACATTTTTGGTTCAGGGTGTTTTTTTTCTTCTTTTCTTTAGTTCATCACAGACAAGCCAGAGCCTCATTGGAAAATATCGAATTCCTTGCTAAAAATGTGTTTCAGATTCATATGTTTCAAACAGTAGATTTTTGAGATGCCAACAGCTGATTGATGATGAAATGATAATCCAAATTGAAATTCTTCATCTGAATTTGGATGGAATCAAAGGGTGTCGTCTGGTACTAGTTTTGGATGCAGCTTTGGATGAACCTGTTTCTACCTGTTGATCATGAAACAAAACCTTTCTGCAAAGATTTCTGCATTTTAGTTTTTGTCTATGCATTTTTAGAATAAAGATTCACAAAAATTACTGTTTTTCTTTGCTCGTTTGTTTTGTTGTTCAGAATACCTGACTTAATCTAAAATAAAAATCTGAGCTATGCTCAAGAAACAATCCATGGGTTTCATTTGATAAGTTAATCTATTTCAGTGACTCAGCTCCAAAATCTTAACTCATATATCAATCTGCTGCTCACACTTTGAGTTTCCAAGAAATTTACACAAGACTATCAAAATACTATCAAATTACAGTCTTTTGAGCCTGTGATGGACTCAGAGTATTTATAGCCTGCAGCATTTTAGTTACAGCTTTTATTCCATTTTCTATGTCCTTATTCCGACAATAACTCTTAACCAAAGCATTACCAATTCACGCATAATCTTAACCATAATCTAAGCCCAATTAAGACTTTAGTGTTAAGCCTTAACCTTAGTAAAAAAAAAAGATGTGGGGATCATTAAAAGTCCTCAAATCAATACATATATTCCATGATTTGATGGTAAAACTGGTCAAAAGTTCCTCACTCTGATGTCGCACACAAACCACTACCTCCTGGATCAATAAATGCACTACTACACATTTGCACTAAAACTAACATAGTGTGTATTCACAACATATCTTTACAATATAGGAAAATGACAAATTGGACATTAAAGCTGCTACTTCTTGCTCTTCTCCTTGTTCTTCATGTATTGGAAAAGTACATTTATTTTACTAACTAAAATTAAAGTAAAGGTAATTAAAACTGAAATGTGGGCTTAAAAAGAATAGGTTAAATACCTGCTAATTTTTTTAAAGATGCGTTTAACTTACATCAAACATTATTGGAGCAAACAAAAATTCAATGGATACCACAATAATTTAAATGTTCAGTGAGTTTTAGACATATTCATCAAAATGCATAGAAATAAACACCTAAAATATTTCACACTATGTCTAGTGAATCTATATGACATGCAATTTTAGCTTCTTTTTATTTAAATCAGTGAAAACAATGAACATTTTAATGGTGTGGTGATGAATTGGTATTTATACAACTGTATGGTTAAAACAACCCAACATTTGTTCCAACACAATAAACAAAGCATTTAGGTTAAAGAGATACACAAACAGTTTTTTTTTTATTGTTATAAAAATCGCAATTGTAAAATATTTTATTACAGTTTGCATCTTTTTCTTAGTAGATTCGGGAATAAAAACCTTTCACTAGCAAACATCTGTTATTGCTATTTCCTTAGGTTTTTAACTGCCACAGCTTAACTATGTCCGACATACAGCAGATGCTTACAAGATGCTGAGTTGTAAAGCTTTCCCCTTCATATCACCTGAAAACAGTGAAACAGTCCTCATCTTTACCCCCTTTCATTTCTCTTGCAAGCAAAAGATCAAAACCCGCCTGTGTAATTACCGCAGGGCTGAAAGAAGGCCTTTTGATTATTAGCCCCCTCTCACTCCTCCAACCTGAGGTTCTTGATGTGTCTAAGTGTTGAGGAGCCAGGACGGGTGATTCGGTGCTACTTATTGCACTCTTTCTACAATATGTTCAAACGCCCAGAAAATGTGTTGCACTGAATGGAGGGGACCCCTCCTGCAAACTCGCCACCCCAAGCAACCGGCCTTCCCCTAAGGAGGGGCACGGTCGGGGACGAGATTCTCACCGAAAACCTGGCCCCTCCGCGTGGCCTGCATGAATAATAAGAATGAGAATAATCATAATCATAATGCTGATAAAATGCTCAAAATAATTGCCCACCCCGGAATAAGAGGATTATGGAGGGGAGATATGTGAATGGTGGGGGAGAGAATGGCAGGAATCTGTTAGCATCAGCAAGGACAAAAGAAGAGCTGGATGCTATTAAGTGAGATTAAGCTAAATAAGGCTTGATTTTCCTTTAAGGAAAAATGAGGAAGGAGAAGTGGGTGAGAGTGAAAGAGGAGAAGAAGAGGAGGAGGAAGGGTGAGTCCGATTTATAGATCAAAGAGATGGCCAAACTTCACGTCTTTCATTTACATATAGCTGCTTTATTTCTCTGGAGGGATTAGGTACCTTGCTATTTTCTCCGGGTGGCTCTCCATTCTCTTACCTTTGCTCACCATCCATTTCCTCCTGCTCTCAGGATGGTTTGGCCCTTCTTCTCTTTCTCTTTTTTTCTTTCAAGCTGGTCTCCTTAATTTCTCCCCCTTCTCATTCTCTACTTTCTCTTGGAGCTTCTACAAGAGGCTCTCACTTTCTTGTGTTTGGAGGTTTCATTGTTGGAGCTACCCAGGGGTCTGGTCAGTCTTTGTGCGAGCACTTTAACTCATCTCCATTTCATCCCTGTTGTTCAATGGGGCGAAGAGAGCGTGTAGGACAATGCACACCCCCAACACAACCACACACATACACATGCAGAACAGATTTTAAAAAGTTGGGCTATATTCTGCTGATATTTGTTTTTCAAATGGAAAAATCCAGAAAAAAAAGTATTTCGGTAGATTTCTGAGCCAACAATTTCTGCCCAAACAATTCTTTTACCTTGGAAGACTATCACATAATTGAACTAGAACTAATTACAACTTAAGACAGTTGATAAGTCCTGTATTGATAAGACATTTTTACTTTTAAAAACAGTACCAAGTTTCATATTATCTCTAGGGCCTTGCAAAAGTGGAAGGAAGAATACATGTTTTCCAATGCCTTCCATTTATTTCTGAAGGTCTGAAAAGCATGTTTGTGTACGCATTCACCTAACTTTTAGTTTAAAGAACCTAAATAAAGTGTAACTAATTTCCTTTATCAATCACCATCATGAAGCCTTGGGTAAAACAAAAAAAGTTTAACTTAACTGCAAACCTACCAAGAGACTGGCACTAACCAATGCTGACCTGCTAAGAGAAGCAGCAGTGAGACCTACTGTATGCTGACAACGGACAAAACCCAAATCTTGTCTTTCCGAAGGACTGCTTCGCAAAAAAAAAAAAAAATTCCTGAAATAAAGCCCGGTCCTAGCTAGCAAGAAGCAGAGGGTTTCAAGTTAGATGAGACTAAAATTTTACTTTTAGGCTTGGATACAAAATACTGTGTGGAGAACAAAAAACTGACATTGCCCTGCATGTCAATGCATGATGGAGAAGACTCATCCACGACCTCTCGGGTGGCCAGATGTCAGGCATTAGGGCGGACAGTCCGGATTTTCATTGCACTGTAATGCGTCCGGCGCCGCATCCAGCCAGACGTGTATTTGTCCTCCTTTATGAGGCACTAGGCTTGTAGAGCAGATTTGTATTTTTATTAGTTTTTTTGCTCAGCTGCAGCACAATATCCAATCATCAAAAACGCATCACTATCTGATCTAACAGATGATTTACTAAGAGTGGTGGCGCTTAAGGCAAAGATCTGTCTCTCTCTGTCATTGGTTACAAAACTAAACAAGGATCAGAATTACTGATGCTAAGTATTAAAGTTAGCACCCTGTCAAAACCAGGACGTCGTTTAACCCAGAATGGACAAAAGAGCGTTAATTTATGACCAAAGGTAGTGGAGAATCATTCCATGGTTGCTGCCACTTTGTTGATGCGATGTGGGCGTAAGCAGTCGAGGAAAAGCTGCAATTTAACAGCATGTAAGTACAGATTAACATAAAAGTAAGAAACGTGCAGCAGTGAACTCTTCAATGTTGGCTTTTACATTAAGTTTTGTCACCCCTGGATGCTAAAATAACTTGTGCAGAGCTGTAAGGTGGACTATACTATAAAACATCACCAGTCCCACGGAAGTGTAGACTGTGACGTGAAAGTGGATTTCGGTGGTTTGCCCATAGCTAAAGGGATGACCTTAAAGACAGGTCTGCTGCACACACAAACACTTAAGATAAGTTCCCAAAAGACTGAGGCTCTTAAAAATAAAGCTATACTTTTAGAGCAGTTGAATGTGTTTTCTACAATCTCTTTTGTTGTTTAAAAAAATATATGGCTATTTTATTATGAATGTTTCTTGTTAAAAAGATTTTTTTAACGTTTAAGTCCACACATCTTATGCTTTGTGGTATTCTGCACTTTAAAGATTCATCTCGATGGTCACTTTTTAAACACCACAATGTATTAAATAAATACAAATGCTGGCAAACCAATTATTTTTTTTTTACATTTCTTTAATATTTTGTTTTATTCAGCTACACAAGCATCCTCTTTAAACCACTAAGAATTGTACTATAAATGTGACTTTACCCGATTCTTATGTGCACCTTAGTAATTTATCGATATGCCGCACAATGTCCTCCTTTTTGGTGCTATAGAAATGGCTACCCTAACGACCTCCACCACAAAACTCTCCTCCTCTTGCATGTTTCCGCTGTCCATAGCGTTCCTTAACAGTGTCGTTGCTAAGTCACCAATTTAGTGCTACGTGGTCCCAATTTAATTTCTGATTGGGAACCTACTAGCACTAATTTGCTATCTGGTTAGCAAGATGCTGGCAAGAAAATGATACCTTGATAAACGACCAATCACATTCACCTAATTCACTCGTGTAAAGTCGTGCACCACTCGGGAGAATTTGGAAATGCAACGGTTGGAACAGGCGTTTCCCTACGACTTCACTCAAGGTGAGAATAGATATTTTTGCAAACTGTATGTTTTATTTTATCTCAAATAAGCTTTTTAATTTGAACTGTTGATGGTTCTGACCTGAATGCTAATACTAAATGAGTCTGATTTTGAACAACCAGCGTTGTGTGTTTTTGTCTCTGTTTATTTTCAATGAATTACATTTTTTACATATACTAACATACTAACATGATTTTCTGTCAGTTTGATGAAGATGCAGCAAAAGAAGCAAAAAAAGATGATGTGTGCAACTGATCCACACTCATTAAAGACCTGAACATTCCACTGGCTGTACCAACTACATGGTTTGGGAGGGCATTTAATGTGGCGGACCCTCCATGGGAACATGCAGAAAGAGATTTAGTGCTCAGGATTAGTGTATAGGGGTCGTTTTGGGGTTCTCTCCCCTCCAAGCCTCCTCATCACTCAGCTTTCAAGACTAACCC